AGCATCCCCTGGTTGTGGCTATGAGTTGGAGTATTTTCCCAGTAGGGATAGAACGTGGTTTTGACCGGACGGTTTAGTTTACATTATAGCCCAGGGGCTTTGTGTTAACTGTTTTACCGGAGGACCGGGTGAGGATATGAGGGGTTGGAGGAGGCCTCATAGGGGCTCCACAGTAGCGTGGGGACCCCGGTGCCAGAGTGGGCACAGGCAAGGAGCCCTAGTGCGGGCCCGATCACGGGGGAAGCCGCAGAGCGAGAGGGGGCAGTGAGGGGCCCCAGAAGTAAAGAAGAGGGCCAAGGCATAGGGCAAACCATGTCAAGTACCATCTGCGAGGCTTGGGCTGCGGTGTAGGGGAGGAAAAGGAGCCGCAGATAGCGCCCCCTGACACCGGGCATATAAAGTGGGCAGCCTCCTGCTAATTACATCACTCAATCAATTAAGATCAAGGCATGGCAGGCGAGTAAGCAGGCGGTTAGCCCAAGACAGGAACGCGGAGCCACCAACAGAAAGGCTCCAGCGAGATACTTCTGTCACACTACCTTTTCTGGCATGTCTTAGTGCACAATTTTATTCTGCTAGAGTGGATAAAAGTCTTCCCTTCTCATGACAGAAGAAAAGGAAAGGCAATTCAAAAGGGAAATACAGTCATTTTTAAAAAGTCATTACACGTGATCCCCATATTTGAGCAGATGTGCTCAAGTGCAAAGAGCAGCAAGCATGGATTTAGTTCCATTCACCATCACGCAATTGTGACCAAGTTTGCTTTCATCTTTTATGTCAGGCAATCAAAAGAAAATAGGAGTATATTTACTGGGAGGGGGCAAATAAAATCATGATAATTAAAGAGCAGAAAATCTAACTGTGGTTTAGTCTGGAGGCATGTTAATAAAAAAGGCTTAAATAAATTAGTCAAACAAAGTCTCTTGGTTCTCTTCCTTCTCTTTGTGCCTTGGATGGAAGAGGAAGGCACCACTGATTGTGTTAACTGTATCCTTTTAAGCTCCAAAATGCAGAGTTCATAACCTAGGAAACTGCCATACAACTGCATTAAACAAAATCAATTCAAAAAGACCCTGGGGGAAAAAAGAGACACTGTGGATAAAATCTTGTGTCACAGTCAATGTGAGCTTCACTCTGAGTCTTGTATACTGTAACATGTTCTGTGGCCTTTTTTAGCTTCCTCCTCTTTTGGAATTCAAAGATAATTTTTTTCATCTGACAGTTATGATGTTACTTTTTTCCTAATAATAGCTATTCTATTTCTCACAGATTTCCCATTTCCAATTAAACATCCTGACTCAGTCAAGTTCTTTAGCAGATCCCTAACTCTCAGTATACATGTTAAGTTCTCCTGAAGTCAATCAAACTCAACTCAAAGTGTGTTCTTAGTACTGGCTCACTGCCTTGCCTGACTAGCTGAAGTCAATATCCTGAGGGATACCCAGCATGGGT